GCAGTGTGATTTCAGCCATTATCATACTTCAGAGATTTCCCACAGGAGTTAACCTGAATTCATAAATCCGTATGAAATCCTCCTGCTCACAGAACAGCAATCTTAATATGTTTAGGGATACAAACCTTTTCTTCAGGAGGAAAGGGTAGGGTAAGATGAAAGAAATGCAGTTGTCCAGCTGGAACCCAAGTGAAGGCATTAGGACAGGACTTTCAGATCACACAGTCATTCAGATCCAACATTGGCACATATACACATGTAAAGCTGATTTTAAGGTCTGATTAGAGTGTTCAGTTTTGCAATTGTGCATCTCCATTTCAGTCCGTAAGGCCACACCTCATTTTCTTGATTTTTCACCTATAAAGCTGACATATAGCCTTTTTCTTTTTTCCCCACTCCCTTTTATATAAGATTTTTTTTCTTATATGCCTTCTGTCTCTAGCCATAACAGGCAGTTTGAGATGTATTTACTCTGAAACTGAGTAACATTATTGCACACCATAACTTCTCATGGATCTTGACAGACTGACAATTTGGAACCCCATGTTTTTTAAAACCTTCTGAAAATATTTAATAGATTCTTTTCCCAATTTTAATTATTCTGGCATTTTTCAAGTAGTGATTATTGTAGTTTTTTGTACCTCTAATTAGAGCAGATTTAAAAGATTAGAGATGATTCTTGCGTTAACCCTTAAATCTTGAACATATATTACTGAGCTGTCAGTCTGAAGCACTTCCCTACTGCAGTTGTGTGTTTTTAAGTTTCTCCTTTTTCAAGGAAAACACTAAAATATTTGTACTCATTCCTCTTCCCTTTTTTCAGTGACATCATCTATGCACCTGGATATAGCAAAGAACTTTTTTCAAACTGTCATTTCTTTTGGCATAAGCCAACATTTACTGATCTCATTTTTCTGGAATCCTTTTATATTTTTGTCCTCCCAATGAGAGCTTTTCCAATTCTGCTGTAAAACTGAAAAACCTCACAACTAACTATTGTAATTTCAATTATTAACAAAACAAATACATTGACAGTATTTTGAGCAGAGAGAGATCTGAATTCTAGGCCTTTTAAAATAATATATTGGACTTGGCCTTTATTTTCACTTTGTATGGAAGGCATATGAAAATGGATGTCAAAAATTACAAGCCTGCTTGCAGTCTCTATCTTTTATGTTTGAGGTGCTAGATGATAATTTAATAGAACATATTGATCCCCAAAGGTAAGAGTTAATTACGGTCAGTCTTGTGTTTTAGGAGGTTTGATGTCACTACTTTGCCCTTTCCAATTTCTTACTTGTATTGAGCTGGGGGGGCAGAAAGGGTGGCTGAATAATGATTATGGCAATACACCACCTATTTATGTTTTTCCACTATGTTAAACAAAATTAAAGCTAAATTGAAAAACAACGGCAACAAAGTGAATTTTCTATTTTTATTATAAGTGACTATTGTAAGATATTCAATTAGTTAATGACATATTTTACAATGGACTGAAATAGTTTAATTAACTTAAAAATCTGTTTATTATTTCTGATTCTCCTGCTCTCTGTTTGTTTAAAATGGAGCGGAAGGGGTTAGGGAAATGGCAAAAGTAGAACTAGAATGTTATAGTAAGCTGAAAAAAATGAAGGAAAAGTTAACACCAAAAATTTAATTTTGACTTCTGTATTTCTATCTTCCAGTTCTTCTTTCAGTATATGCTATTCCACATTATCTCTACAGTAAATTTGTAACATATATATGAATTCTGTTTGGCATTTTAACAAGACTTTTCAGATAAACTTCAATATTCGTCTTCCTAAAGTGATGAAATGGAATTTATTTGCATTGCAGCCTCTATACAATATTACTGAAGCTCCAATCAGATAGCTGATTTCATTTTCATCCAGTTGTGATACTATCATTGTTTGATTTTAGGTTTTTCACCACCGATGCCTACCAGCTTCTTTCCTCTCTTCTCCCTACCTGTTCTTAAATACTCTCTCCCCACCATGTCATTTAATTGAAAAATTTATGGGAAATAAGTAATTGATATGATGTGATGTACATTAGCAATAGTATGATTTAATTATTATTGACCAAAACCACAGTATGTAGTAAAACAAAGTACAGTTTCACTGAACATGTAGTTGTTTCTAAACCCCACGAAATTACATATTTTTAAAATAATATGAGTAGCCAGTATTGTGATCTGCATTCTCTCTGATTCTCTATGAACAAACTAGGTGTAGAGTACTTCACAGAATGCAGCATACAGTATCTGGGCAAGCCAATATGCATTAATGAAAATCAGTATATTAATTTTAAATGTATTTTGGATTTGATGAGTGGCCTCTATTTAAAAATACTCTTCTCTTGAAAATTTTGCAAAAACAAGTCACACACGAGCACATACCATTATGCTGCCTGCAGTTACAATCTGGCATCTGACCAACAAAGAATATATTAGTGGAAAAACAGTCCTCCTCTTGTACCTCACAAAGGCAAAATTATTTTTTTACTGGATGAGGCTATACACTGAGCAAAGTTCCATCCTCTGTCTTGTCAACCTGCAGTAGCATGAGAGCAGCACTGGAACTGCCAAGTGATCAGTCCTGGCACAGGGCTTCAAGCATTCAAAGGCGGCCTCTGTTCTTCATGTTCTCACTGAGCCAGTAAAATGCCCTCTAAGGAATTTTCACACCTCCTAACCAAATCTGAGTACACAGTTACATTAAAGACTTGGGGAATAAACAAACAATAGGAGATGCCCAGTGCTATTACCAAGCAAATAAGTAATTCCAAAATGCAGTCCTTCTTAGCCAATGAAGGTCAGATGTCTACTGCTGTGAGTAATTTTTGCAGTGCTTCAAGGCTGTTTGGGGCAATAGAAAACTAAGAATTCAGCAGTGCTCGTAATGACTTCCTGATCACATCAAAAGCGTCTTGGATTTCGCACTAGTGTGAGGATTCTAATGATGGTGTGGGCCTCTTCAATGTGGAAAAATAACTCATGGCATATACTGTACATTATAAAGGTTGTGTTTATAGAGAAAATATTGATGCATTTTAAATATTGCTTTTTCTAATAGGAAAGCTTACTCCTGAAAGGTAGAGCATATAACTGCTAAAGAGACTACATAATTCAAGGAAATATGGAAACTAAGGTCAAAACCTGGACAGTTCTGCGTGTTCAGTGATTTTTCATTGTAGCATGAGAAGCCAACATGCCAGATTGATTGAGATCTGAATATGGGTATCACCCACTCTTTCACTTCCAGGCATGTTGCTTTGCTGTCTGTGGTAGAAGCCTGACTCCTACCAAGTCATTATCAGGGATATATCATTTTTGCCTCCAGAAAGCTGAGCTCAAAGTGCTCATGTATGTATCATGATACACTGAGTTGTGCTACAGTTGTGCTGAACACTTAATAGTCTGGGTTGTGCTCCTCATTCAGACAGCTGACAAATAGCCTGAAATTAGGGCTTTCTTGGTCAAACTAGGATGTCTGGCAAAGCTACAAATAAATCAAGAGGACAGTCTGAGGAATTTGGATTTAAACTGTGGAATAAAAAAATTTCTTTCTCAGAAAATTACACCAATATGATAAAATTTATTTAGAAACAACATCAGTTAAAATGGTATCCTCTTTTTTACTTGTATGAGGTTTTAGTCTTACATAAATTTATGTTATGCTGTCTGGGTACCTGGATAATATAGTGTAGCTAATACCACTTAGCTACGTGAACAACAACAACAGCAAGAAAGAACTTCCTGCTCAGTGGTTTCTTTGCAGCTGGACACTGAAGGAAATCTCTGTATGTTTGGAGGAAATAGTGACTTGTTTCCCCTGGACATGACACACACTAGATATGCTATCTGAGAAGACAGTGGAGAAAAAATTATTTTGAAAAATTTATTTTGAAAAATGTATATAGACCATACTGTGAGAGTTCACTGACTACAGAATTCTGTCTGTAAACAATGGAAATTCAGCAAGTAAGTTCAGCGTAGATTTATTATGAGTGCTGTACAGTTACTACTTAGTTTCACGTTAAGACATCAAAAGCCATTTAAAATCTGAGAAATGTAATATATAATTTAAAAGTTAACTTAATGAAGGATCAAAACCACTAGAAGACCTAAACCATAAATCTGGTGAGAATGTCAGAGTCAGGACACAGTAGTTTATTTAGAGATCTTTAATTGGGGTTTTTCCACTCATAATTAAAAATAAATAAGTAAACTTATGTTTGAATTTCATGGATTTATAAGATCTTTGAGTCCATATAAGTTTGAGAGTAAAGCAGGATTAAAATACATTTGAAAAGAGGTTACCACAGTTTATTTGCATCTGTGTTTCCTGTCTAAAGTAACAGAATGAAACTATTTTGTAATGCACCTTCACATGGAAACTATTTAAGGTGAATCTGCAGTACTAGAAACATGCAGGAAATCCTGTCCATCCAAGACATGCTAAATAAATTGCTAAAAGGTCTTGGTTCTACATACTAAACTTATAGTAGAATTTTGATAATGCCTGTGTGGAAAAAAAAAAAAAAAAACCCAAAGAAAATATATAACCTAAACTTTTTCCACTGTGATGTTGGGATTCACTAATCACAGCAACTAATGTATAAACGAATATAAACATGGAAGATTCAAATCCACTTTACAAATATTACACATTTGAATGTTATACTTTTTATCACTGTGAATTTGAAATGCATTCACTGATGAAATATGGTCACTCCAGATGAAAGAAACAATAAAAATATTTTAGCATCCTGCAATATATCAATTAGGCTATAGGAAGCTTAGACAGTATTAAGAATGTTTGGAGGGAGTTATGTATTTTTAATTTAAATAATAGAGTTTCATTCTTTTCCCATTTCAGAAGTAATGAGAAATTAATTACATGAGAATATGCAAATAGATTTTAGTGGTCCTTACTACATGCAAAGGACAAAAAGCAACTTTTCTTTAGATAAATTTGTTATTTGTATCTAAAGACCTGCAAATAATTAAAGTAAATTTTGTGCCCAATAATAAAGGAAAAAACTGCTTTGTAGTGTATGATGTTCCTATTTCTAGTCCTGCAATCCTAAGATTTGAGCTTTAAATAGTGAGGCTCACTCTTATTTAAGCATTCATATTCGATTTCAGTTTCGATCTGATATTTGTAATTTGAATCAGAAAGTTCAATATTGAGAATTACGCTCTATTTCTGTCCTTTATTGTACAAAATGGTATGTGTACCTTACTCCTTATTTTCAGGTTCTTCATCATTAGGGTCTGATAAAGACTTCATTCTTGCTCTTTCACTCCTTCCTTCCCTCCCTCTCATTCTTATTTCTAGTGTGCTGCTTCTGTCTTCCGAGTCACAATGTGACTGATAAGTCTTTTCACAAATATACATTTATAATTAGAAAATATCAGTAATTATTGGGATACTTATTTTATATTTTGTTAGTCTAAACCTGATGTTTTCTTTAAGTCTCATTTTCCTCAATTTTGATTGTAATTTTTTCTGGAAGAGTAATAACTTGATGTGATCTTTCTTGTAAAATATCAGAAGATCTGGAATGTTGCCTGTATTTTTGCAATCCTTGCTCTGGGCTTTTTTTTCTTGATCAGTGGCTATAGAGTGTCTCCCTTTTTTTAGATAGATCTTTTTATGTATATCACTATTTAGTTATTTTTTACCTTTCTTAAACCTCAGGGTTATTTAATTCTTCAGTCTGGAGGAATTCCTAGGCCCCTGTTTCATAATTCTACTATGCATCACTTCTTTGCAAAACCACTTCATAATTCTCTTCCATGGAATATAAAATAATTTAAAAATACTAGTTCACATCTCGAACAATTCTGCACATATTCACAAGCTTTTCTTATCACTTTTCTACAGCATTTCATGCTAAACAGATCACTTTTGTATTATCTTATTAGGCTTTTCTGTAATGTTGATCCCTTTATATTTTCCCTCAAAACCAGCTGGTTTTCAATTGGAAGTATAAAGGCTTTCTTCTTCACAGCACGAGTGCAGAGTAGAAGTACAGAGTATTTGTACTACTATGGCATCTGCGTGATTTTGCTGAAAAAAGTACAGGTCACTGATAAATCCCAGAAAATGTGAAGTGTTGTGCCACTTAAAGTAACAAGTCTGGTAATGTCTTTTGTATGACTTTTCTTTGACAGATTCTGACAGATTCTTATGAGTAGCTTTTTTTATCACTTTAATTTAAAGGACTATCTTACTTTCAAAAATCAGCAAACTCATTGAAGGGCTTTTGCTTTTTTTTTTTTAAGTTAATTGATGAATTTGATCACCCCCTTTTAACATTGGTAAGAAGTAAAATCTCATTGAAGATCTAAGCCACATTGATCTTGCAGCACCAACTACTGTGGCCAAATAAGTAACCATTTCCAAAGACTGATCTGCATAATTCTTAAATGTTAGTGAGTTTCTAGCCATGCAAATGCATGATGATAGCATTATTCCTTTACCAAAATACAGACTGGTGAACTGCAGTCTCATTCCACAAGTGGTACGTCCCAACTGCCTTCATATACTTTCATAAGCATCTGTTAATATAATGTGCTATAACTTTTTCCCTATTACTTAGAGAAGCCAGGTTTGATATCATTTTTGTTACGTGTTATGCACCTGTAAGTTAATATGAGACAGTTCACAAAACTTAATTTGCAAACTATTCATTTTTCACAATAGTCTAAGTCAGTTATTTTAGGGTGGAAAATATATAAACAAATTAAAAATTTTCATGTCATGATTTTTAAAAGACAAAAGTGCATACTGCCATTTAAATTGAACTGTGTATGCTATGTCTAATTGTTTCTGTCATATAAATGCATTATAAATTATTCTTGGAACAAACGCTCTCGTCTTCTAAGAGAACATGCATAACTATTGTTGATGTGAGGGGCTACAGAGCCTTCTGCGCACATCCTGTAGGAGATGTTAATGCACGGTATCTGTTATAAACAGGCCTCTTCTGTTAGAAGAAGGAGCTGACTCAAAGAATCTGCTAGTCTTCCAAAGAAAACATCTGTTTTAAATATATTTGTTTGGATTCCAGTCAGCACACCTAGATCTTGCATAATTAGCTTAGACTACACAGTTCCCTTTTCAGAAGATATGTTTATATAAATAAGCCATGCATTTTTCATTAAGTAAATACTCCTCCCCCTCCCCCCCCCCTTTTTTAATTAGAAATTACAGCTTGTATTTTAACATATACTTTTGGAATGCAAAGACTGAGATACTTTTCCAACACAATTTTTTGTATGACATTCATTTTGCTGTATTTTGTATTGTGGAGAAGTGTCTTGCAGCCATCTCATTGGTATTTCAGTAAATGAGTGCATACATTTATAAAGATGCTTTTGATACCAGTAATTGATAATTTACTAAATCAAATGTGAATTTTGTACCTTTTACTACTTTTGATACTGACTATTTCTTTAAAAGTACATAGTAGACTTTTAAAAAATTAATCGTCATAGTAACTGTCCTAAGTTTACCCTTCTTAAAGATCTGATTAACTACAAATACATAAAATACAGTGTTTATTTCATCTTAAGCAGCTCCTTAGAAGAGACAAGAAGAAATGGAAACTCAGTTAGTGGTCCTTTCTCCGTTCACCTCATGCCATGCCATACCATGTGATTCTAGTGAACCAGAATCTCTTATCATACAGCTGTGCAACATTAAAAGAATTCTTTTCTAAAACTAATGAATTTGCATACCTTTGGTATTAAGATCAAACCTCTTGAACTTCCCAGGCATTCACAGCTGGGAATGAAATCTTTTACTTTAGGACAAATTCAGCCTGGAGTGACAATTTCATAATATATATTGCAGGTGTGCTGTATTACAGAGGGGCTGATGCTGGTATTTCAGGCTTAAAAGTAGCTTTTAGGCCATTTTTTGCAGTTCATACAACCCAGATGACACTCTTCATAGTCTGACCTGGTATTCTTTATATCATGTCTGATTTCAGGTCAGTTCTAGACCTGTGGAAACAAGAGTCATGCCTGGATTGAGTGTTTACATCTGGGGCAATGTCGGTTGGTTCTGAATGATCCTGAAGCCCCACTTATGCTCTTGCTGTACAGAATGATGTCTTGTGTGAGAAGAGCAGTTGCATGTTTGGTTTTTGCTTTTTCTTGCCATTTTCAGAAGTTCTCAAGCATAGGTGAAGAATGTTATCAATGATTCAGTGTGTTCCTTCTACCTGTGCATGTGATCGACTGAGAGAAGTTGGCTAAGTGTTGTGGGGAGTTTTAGTCTGAAATTAATTCATATTAATTATTTATATTTTTCAAAAGCTGTTGTATACAATAATGCTGCATACTAAGGAGACAATAATGTTGGCTGTTTACTTCCTTTCAATGTAACTTATGTGATAATAATGCAGATTTTGGTTGGTTGCTGTTCCGTAGGTGTTTACTCTGTTATGGATTGCTGACTGGATGGTGCACCACTTCTGGAAAAAAGGAAAAGATCCTGACAGTTTTTCTATCCCTTATCTTACTGCACTGGGAGATCTGCTTGGAACTGCCTTATTAGCTATAGGGTTTCATTTTCTGTGGCTCATAGGTGACAGAGATGGCGATGTCGGAGACTAATTATTCCAACGGATGCAATTACTTTTCCTGGAATATTGACAAGACTGATCATTCCCCATGAAGGTCCTCAATGTGATTGTTCCATTTGGTATAAGTAAATCAAGTTGACACAGATATAAAACAGCCTTAATGATTTTAGTTTGGTTTGTTTTTTTAAAAGTAGGATGTAACTACTATCAGAGTAACTGATAGTAGTACTGTAACTGTAACTTTCAGAGCTATTTATGTCACCCATTTCTAAGGGTACTTGAGACCTTTACCTTGAAGCCAAGGTGGATTGCTGCTAGTTGAAGACATCTGAGTAGACACAACGAAGGGCAGATCAATCCTTTATCAAGTTTTAAATTTTTAAAAGATCTGGTCTTTTAAAATAACAGTTCCTTACCTGTATTGCAAACCAGAACAATCTTTATATGTTCTTTTAGTGGTGACAAAGAAGAGGGTAAGACTAAGTCAGTGGCTTGCCTTCTC